ATGAAACTGTACCTAGATGACTAGGGAATAAAAGATCTATTATACCAGCACTGCTGTTGGAATAAAGGTTATGTCAGAAACATTAGAGACAGTGATAGTTGTTGACATACTTAGAGGCTATTTAAAATCTAATAATCAGCAGCCCGTATTGTCCGCAATGTATAAATACGTACAGAAACATAATTGAATGCATAGGATCTGAAAAGAAATTATGCTCAAGTCCAGAGTCTAGAACACTTCACAAAGCATATTCATTTTAGAGTCCAGTGAGGGGGGAATACTATGGGGCTGAACAGAAAGGGATGAAGGCTCTTTGCTGGTCTGATTTATATAAGCACCAACTGGGAAGAGCAGCACAGCCCACAGTGCTGAGTGGGAGTGGAGGTGGAACCTCTTTGGGGTTCGTCATGTCAAGAATCTGCATCTGATGCCTGTCACTGTGCTAGAAAGGCATCTCCAGGGTAGAGCTCCCTGATTCATAGGAGTGGCTGCAATGGATACATTTCCTCATAGAATCACAGAATGGTTAGGGTTGGAAGGGACCTTAAAGATCATCTAGTTCCAACCCCCCTGCCATGGGCAGGGACACCTTCCACTAGACCAGGTTGCTCAAAGCCTCATCCAGCCTGGCCTTGACCAATTCCTCTGGGCAACCTCTTCCAGTGCCTCAACCCCCCTCCCCATGAAGAACTTCTTCCTGGTATCTAATCTAAACCTCCCCGTTTTCAATTTAAACCCATTACCCCTTGTCCTGTCACTACAGGCCCTTGTAAAAAGTCCCCTCCAGCTTCCTTGTAGCCCCTTCAGGTACTGGCAGGCTGCTATAAGGTCTCCCCAGAGCCTTCTCTTCTCCCGGCTGAACAAGCCCAACTCTCGCAGCCTTTCTTCATAGGAGAGGTGCTCCAGCACTCTGAGCATCTTCATGGCCTCCTCTGGACTCACCCCAATTGGTTGATATCCTTCTTATGCTGGGGGCCCTCGAGCTGGACACAGTACTGCAGGTGTGGTCTCTGGAAAGGTATAAATTTGCACTGAATTCTCACATTGGTGGCATTAAGACTACCTACATTAACGAAGATACTGGAGGAGAGGGTGAGTAGAAAGGTTAACTAAGAATATCATCACCTAGGGGAAATAATTTTGAAGTCAGTTGATACCTGTAGTGATTAAGCAATTGTCTGAGGTTTTGATCCTTCAAGGAGGCATGAACGTAAAATTTAAATCTGTGACTTGACACACCGAAGACAATTCTGTGACTGCAAGTGACATTGCTTTTATGTTAACAATCATCACACCTGAAGTTAGGCTTTTTTTTAAGCTTGGGTATGCAGATTCTTCCTTCTCTCATAAAGAGCCAAGATTTGCTATATATTTGAGCTGACAGAGCTAAGCCAGTTGTCTGGGGCTGTTGTACAGTAAAATTGTTTTTCACTCTTGACAGTTGATTAACACAGGAAGTTCCCCAACCAGCTGACCAGCTGATGGTTGAGAGAAATGACATGTTTAAAGTGCCCCTTTTGTCTTATTGCCTGTCTTTGTGCAATGTGAAGTAAACAAATTTTAGCCACCATCCCAAGGTCCTATCATTTACATTTGCATGTCTCCATTCAAAGAAAATAAAATATTCCTGGTGAATAACCATTTGGGGTTTTTTTTCCCAAAATAAAGAAAGGAGATTGCACAAGAAAAATTACTACATTGCAGAGACCTCTCTGGAGTGTGAGACATTGGGGCTGGAGCCCAGAATGTCATTTAAGAGCCACAGGAGCTCAGTCTTCACTGAGGACTCAGCTCAGAGTACAGTGCTCCTGTCCTTTTTATTCGCTCAACTGAATTTATCACTATGACCCGTAAAACAGCTATTTATGCTTACAGGGCAAAGACACCCTGGACTTCATGTGGTACTTACCCCAATTGCATGCATTAAGCCGAGGTCTGTAAAGGTGTGTCTCCTCTCTTGCCACTCACAAGGAAGCTGTCAGGGCTTAGCTGCTCTGCTGCTTCATGAAGACTACCTGTTCCAGTAGGACATTATGGGATCATGCCCTTATTTCAGCATTTTGGACACATCTCTGCAGGGAAGAGTAAAAGGCTGTATTTCACAGCTATGATATCATTCTCGTGAGCTATAATTCAGCATGAGCCACTATAAAACCTCTCCCATGACATCAGAGCTGTGAAATATAGCTGACTTCAAGTGCAGAAAATTCCCCCGTAGGAATAATTGTTTCCTGGCAATTGGCATTTGAAGGACTGATCCTTTAAAAGGCAGACACAAGTCCTGCCCAGGTAAGGCTGCTCCAGGCAGCACCGCTTGGGAAACCTTACGTGCAGGAGCAGAGGTATGGAGCCCCACTGTGGGATTTGGCCGCGAGGGTAATAAGACGAGCACTGGGGGAGCCTGTCAAGTGATGATTTTCACTCCCTCACGCCTCAGCGATCCTCGCAGACTTCACTAATAGCAAAATAATAGGTTTGCTCGTATGCTGTGCTCCCTGCCTCAGACCCTGCCTCCCCAATAAGGCGAGCCACGTGCGCACAGCCAGAGCTACGGTCTCATCCATCTTTTCACATCTGCACTCCAAGCACGGAACAGAATGGGCGTGCTGTTACACGGCAGCTAGTCACGGGGGGCACTAATTAACCTACCTGGGCAGGCCCCAACTTCCCCGCAAAGCAAGCTGGAAAGAAAATGGAAGTCAAAAATATTGTGTGAGATGTAATCTCCTCTTTCGTATCGTATCAGGGAAGATGCCCACCAGAGCAGGCCTCGCTCAGAGCCAGGGGTTAGAGGAGTGATGTTGGCAGAGCTGTAAAGGACCAGACCCTAAGCAGGTGGGAAGGGTACAGGAGGAGGATTAAGAGAGACTAACACAACTGGGAGAGATTTTAAGTCACCTCAGCTCTCCCTAGCCCGGTGCCTGTGTCTCCCTCTAGCCACCTGCACAAACCTGTTGCTGGCGCTCCATGAATTGCACTGAAGGCAATTGCAGGACACAGCCTAAAGCATAGTCACACTGGCTTCTTCTGTTCCTCCTCTGTAAAGGTCTTCGTGCAGTGGGCAACAGGTCTGTTATTGCGGCTCTCTCTCATGTGTGCGTGTTTTTACATGTATGTGAGTATGTACACGTCAGTGTGTCTGCCCTGCCTCATAGCACTCAGAGCCTTACCTGAACACATCTCCCATGACCTGCAGGACAGAGCTGTTTTTACCCACATGAAGTTCAGTGACATTAATGAGAGCTAACTGGAAAGGTTCCTTCTTCTCCAGAGGAAACTCCAGTGCTTCAGAATTGATTGTACCTTTTTCATTCTTCCTCTACATGCTAAAAACCTGACGACTCCTCCTCACCCAGAAGTTAACATTTTATGGTATTTTACCTTGTGAAGAAGCAAAAACTATGTTTGAACAGCCCTGTTCCATTACCTACTGTCCATCTGAAGGCTAAGTGGTATCTCTTTATAGAAAATTATTTACTAAGAGGAACCGTAAGAGACTTGAGGTTATTTTATACAATTTATTACCAAGAGCAATGACATCCAGAAGAGTGGCTAACCGGAGGCATTGTAAATGCTTTAACTCCATCAGAATAGCTCAAAGGCTAAATTTTGCCTGATTTACACCTTTAAAAAAGTAAACACATAATATAGGGGAAAAATTGGCCTTTCATATATATAATGTGATCCCAGTAGCATTGTGTGAAATGCTTACAAAATAAAACAAACACAAAATTCTCTTTTCAATGTGATATAGTCAGACCGTCGTTCCACAATCTTTATTTACAAATATTGAGAGCTGCTGTGTTGAATTTGGAGCTGATTCAGAATGATTTATGGTTTTTTGATCAGGATATTGAAAAAAAAAAATTTCCAAGAGCATCTGTGTGAAACCAAATGAAAATTAATCAAATGATCATTCCTTAAGAGTATGGATCTGTTTGGATTAAAAATTTAACAAATTGTTTATGAAAAATATATGTTGTGGAGTGTTCTGTCAACTAATTCTGATTACCTAAGTGTATAAAATGTTCCAAAGTTGTTAATCACTTTTTGTACGACTGGTTACTTGAGATGCATAGGATCATTCCTTCTTCCTGAATAGAAGATTTCAGTTTTTTAAGAAACAGAACTGTCCACACTACACAGTGGTACTGTATTGAAAGCTTTTTTCATGATGAATATCATGCAGTCTTCAGAGATAGGGATAATTTTCATAATTATTTTTTAGGTGCACAGATGTTTTAATATTAATAATATTCGGAAGAAGTAGCTAGTATGAACTCACAGGCAGAGATAAACTGGTTGAGTTTTCTTTATATTTAGAAGTTATTAGTGAATGCATTTACGCATATAACTATGTATTTAAAGATCCAAAACTCAGTACAAAACTCTGGCAGTAGGAAAATTTGAGGAAATCAAAATGTCTGTTTAACTTCCTACGCAGTATCAAACAGGTCTAGGATGTGGGAGATATTGAAAAATATGGACATTTATTTCACTAGCTTGTTTACCTGACCCTTCCTAAATGAAGTCAAAGGCAAAACTCCTTAAATGTAAGGAAAAAATCCTGGAGTTATCTAAGTCCAGGCTCTTCAGCCCACAACTATAGCAACAGACTGCCTCCTGGGAAGTCTGTGTGCACTCTTGCTAGCCCTTCTTCGATGTAACAAGGGAACCTCATCAAGATCCTCGGTCAGAAACAGTTATATCCCAAAGTCCAGGCAGTAAAAAGAGAAAAGCCTGGTTTGCCTTAGTCAATGAATGGAACTAAATGGAGTTAAGGGGAAAAAAAATCCCACAAACCCCAAACATCAGGATTTCTACCTCCTACTCAGCATAGACCCATTCAGATTATTTGAAGGACAACATGCAGCATTTTGAACCAGAAACAGCCCAGCTTTTCAACAATCGCTATTACTCTTCCACATTTTGGACTTACTTGCTGTGGTGATGAATGTTAAGTATCTTTGAAAATGTTTTAAAAGTTGTTATTTTTCTTTTCAGAGATCCTTTGAGACTGCAAAGAAGGAAGAAGGCATGAGATTGGCTTCAGTGCAGTAAAGTAGGTTAGTTTAAGGACAAGAAAAAAGTCATTAACTAGCCCTTCTTGTGTTGCCGTGATGAGAACTTACCATTGCTTCTGGCTGCTGTTTTGGGCTGGTCAGCCCCACCAAAGTTTCTTAACTCCATTATCCAAAAGGACTAGTAGCTTTCCAGAAAAGGAAAAGGTTTTGATATTGTCTGGAAACAGCAGGCGAGACATCCATCGTTCCAAAAGGAGCTGGATGTGGAATCAGTTCTTCTTATTGGAGGAATACACAGGAACTGACTACCAATATGTTGGCAAGGTAAGATTCTTTCATATGCATCTATGTTTTGATTGTAGAAGCACTAGAAAGCCAGCAATAGCAAGTAGGCGAGAACAATACTGCTACAACTTTTAGTTCCCCTTCCTGTCTGCCCAGCTTCTGTTGAGGAGTAATTTAGCGTAAAGGTTAGTATGCTTCAGCTTCAAACTGTAATCAACAACAGAACTTCCTTGTTAACCAGCAAGTCCCATGGCCAATCATGCACAAATATGTTAAAGATTTTCTGTTTTAATTTTTGTCTGGAATTAATTATAAGGTTGTCTAGGCCAGATTTTTAACTTTGAAATGTAATCTTCATTTACCCTCATGCTCATTAATTTTGCTAGGGTCAAGCTATACAAACCAGAAAAGGTTTTGGTCCAAGACACTTAGAATTCACAGTACCCGTATTTGAGTGAGGATTCTCTCTGCCTGGAGAAAGGCAACCATTTCCTTTTTTATTCCCCACTGCACAGAACAATACTGCAGCCATTTGCTGACGAGTTTTTGTGGTGCCACTGAGGACTCTGTGACATGACCATAATACCACAGCCATGCTATTACAAAGAGTTGAAGCACACTGTGCTTATATACTAAGAAGCATCAGGCAGCTGAAAATTTCTAAAAGCTCAAAGTATTTGGATGGTTAGAAAAAGGTCTGGGGAAAAAAAAAAAATAAAAAAAAAGTCACAGCCTAACTGAGAATATCCACCTCCCCAAGCAGCATACCCCCATGTAGGTAACAACATTTATGTGAATTGTAGAGCTCAGGCACCTGTGGTAAGCCTAGAGAGAGTCTACACTGCCCAAGGTGGCATAGTCTATAGGAGTCTCTTGCAGAACGCAGAAATTATGCTATTGATGATGACGTTCAAAGTAGAAACAATACAGCTTAGTTTTCCACACTAAAATGGGGTTGTGTCTGATCTAGTTTGTTCTCTTAGCAAAGGCTGCAGATCACAGTGGTTTGACGTTTTATCTCCCTCTGTAAGCTTCTGAGCATTCCCGTGAGAGATGGTGGCTGCTTTTCTTGCCTGCCAATCAGCTGTCAGTCAAAGTTGGATGTGACACTCCTTTCCTGCTAAATGGCTGCAAGGCATGATTCAAATGAAGAGCTACTCACCTGGTGTAATACTCATACAGCTCCTACCAGGATAATCAGCATTCATGAAGGGTTCCATTGAGCCCAATCTACAGGAAAAAGCCAAAGGCAGAGAGTCCTCAGAGAGGAGATGTAGAGGGGGAAGATGAGAGGGTAAGGAAAAAAAGCCAGAAGAGAGTAAGAGGGAAGAACCAGAAAGACAGAGGTGGACGGAGAGGAAAATTTGCATAGATAAATCAAGCTGGAGGAGAGGAACGGGACATCAAGTGAGTGTAGAAGACAGAAGTTGGGAGAACAAAGTTGCCTAAAGAGAGCACAAATAAAAACAGAAGATGAGACAGTGAAGGAAAAAAACCCAACGGATAAGAAATTTGGAATCAAGGAAAAAACCCCAAAAGACAGCAGTCCCACACACACTCTCCTGCTTCACAGTCTATGCTGGGGTTGGGGTAATGGGTATCTCCTTCTCCAAAGATAAATCATGTGATGCTGAGACGAGTTCTACAGCCTGTCATTTTCACTGTGAATTTTGACATTAAACCTGCTCAGCCCCAAGTCCCCCATTCTCTCCACTGCAGAATTTGAGTGGAAGCTATTGGCCTCAGAGGGACTAGTGGGGGAGTGAATATTCCTGCAGGTCAGGTTTGAGAGAGACAGTTAAAAAATACTCTAGTTGGACCAGCAAATGAAGAAAGTTTGAACTGTAGTCATTGAGAGAGAAAAAAATGTGGATGTTATGTTCAAAAGTTGTTCTCCTGCCTATTGGTACTTTAATACACTTACTATTAAGAAGCATAGAAATGACACATAATGTATAAATGTCATTGATTCTGTGTCCCTGGGCTGTTCACGAGTGGCCTTTCACACGTCTTTCAAATGCCAGAACTGCTCACACCCTTGTAATTTAACAATTAGCCAAAAGGCACAGAAGAGCAGCCATTTATTATTAGAGAAAGTTGAGTTTTGGTGTGAGGATAAATAATAGAAACAGCTGAATGTCTCCAAATTGAGGTAACCAGGCAATTTAACTGAGCAATTAAACTTGATTGGTGTGGGCAAATGAGGATAATGAACGTGTTTATGAAGCATATTTTTTCTCAGAGGACTAAATGTTAACCTTAAACATGAACTGAAAATGGTAAGAATGTTAGGTTATATTCTTTTTTATTCTCTGATATCATAAAGAAATGCGAACAGCACCATATTTTAAAACAATTGCAATCATGTGTGTAAAGAGGAATTGTGCTTATGTCTTACTGTATAAGCAGTCAGACCTGGATCTTGGGGTTTTTTCCTTTCTTTCTTTCTTTTTTTTTTTGTGTCTAGTGGTTAAAGCTGATGGGCATTAACGTCATGTTCATAAAAAAAAATTACTTAAAAGCTACAGGGAAAAAAATATCTTACTCGGGCTGGTTTTACTTTTGTCTTTTCATTTTTATAACATCTGTTTAATCCAAACATCTACATCAAAACTTGAGATATAAGAAGTCTGTTGTGAAAGATTCTAACAAACAGCGTTATTTCGATAAACTGCTAAATTACAGTTGTAAAATCCTGTAACTGTTTTTACTACAAAACCCACATTTAGATCATTATAGTTTTAGAGAGAAGGGGAAGGGAAGTGAGGGGAATGCATTCAGGTTTGAGATCATAAAAAAGAAAAGTAATGTCTCTGAAGATCGAGCTCAAGGCAGTACTGAAGACAATGCTGAAGCGTCATGCAAGTCACGGACTACGGTGCTCCATACCCTGGATGCTCTACATCCAGTGAACCCAAATGCTTTCCATTTTTCAGGAGATCATTGCCTAAGCACATACAAGACAAACTGGCCCTTTTTTGGCACCCATGGGTTCTGTCAGCTTTTAAAAAGTGCTCCCCAGTTTTGCATACTACACACTTTACTGTCAGTCCAAATATGCTGCTGTATCACTCTCGGCAAGAATATGTGGCTGACAACAAGAAGCTCCCAGTCTTACCAATACAAGCTGATTGTATGCTGTGGCTCTGACACCAGAACCACCATTTTTATTATGCCATTCGTGTGTTCTTGAATTTCATTCCTGTATATTCATGAATTAACATCTTTTAAAAAGGGTAGAAATAAATTCACACCTCTAGTCTTGGTTAGTCTCAGACACAATAATATAAGGAACCTGCAGAAAAGTTCTAGACTGGAATTATTCATGGCACTGCTGAATAACTTGTGAACTACAGCTATTCATTGAAGTGTGATTGATGGGCACAGTGACATTTTAACCCGAAGATATCTTTTCTTCTGGTTCAGAAATTATGACACTTGGCAGGGACTCAATCCCAAAATAAAATAAAAGGAGTACATGATCATCAAAGTGGAGAAGTGCTCAGCACTACTACCTAACCAAAATCTGCAACGTTTGAGTTAGGTTTTAAAAGAGATCTAGTTCTGACTGTGGCTGCTCGGTACAATTTTAAAGGGCTGGATTGAATGTATCTCTAGATCACAGGTAAACAATGAAGTGATAGTGCAGCTGTGTATAGAAATATATGCTACATTCCCTGGAGGTCTTCAGATATTCCTGGGAAAAAGAGTGAAAAAAATCTGCCGTGTTCCAAGATTAGACTCAGAGGTGTAGTTACCATCTGTATACACTTCATGTCTTTGCACGGCTGTCCCATTGGCTACATGAAATCCATTCGTCACTGAGTGGTCTTGTCAAAGCAGAAACCTACAAGTCGTTGTTACATAAAGGCATAGGATGACTCTTTCTTTTAGACTAAAGAAAGATCTGAACAAGTATCAAATCTTACTCATTAACCCAGAAATGGGTTTGGCAGCCTGCAGTGGAAAGGAGCAACTTGCTCTCCTGATAACAACAGACACAACTGTGGAACGGCTTTGTCACACTATGTCTGTCTAGCACTGAAAGGAAACTTCCAAACATACTTTTTATTTTTGCTGTGTCTTTTTTATGTTCATATAGTTCAAGCAGTATGCTCGCCTGGAAGCTATCTGATGTTACTACCTGTACAACCCATCATAAACAATCATCCCCTGCTGACAGCTCCATTTTTCAAGGAAGATAAAGTCAAAGTCCTGATGCTATGTGGCTTGGCAAAGCAGAATAGATACTGCATGACTGCAGGCAAAACCAGAAACCTTTTGTTTGGTGTTGAAAGAACCACTGGGAAAGATAAGTTCCCCTCTGTCAGGAATGTTTTAAGATACCATTGATCCTGCTTTGGAGGAGGAGGGGATGAACTAAATGATATAGTTTCAGTACTGTTTTTCTTTCTTTTGCCTGAATTTATTTGTGACTACAACTATTCCGAAGGCAAACAGAACTGTCCCTTGCAGTGTATTTCACCAGAAGCAGATCAAACAAAAGGGAGAAGCTCTCCAAACTGTTGCAAGTAGTGGGTCTAAGTCACACACTGAGACAAAAATACTTGGCTGTGAGCACACGCAAGGGGGTACGTAAACAAGGAAAATTATTGTCATGTGATACGCTCCTTGCATTTTCAGCATTTGAGGTAGTAATATGTCACATTACTCCAATGGTTAAAAGGTATCATATCTTACCTGGAAGACATGATAACTGGGAAGAAAAACCTTCACTTTCTTTCAGATCTTTAGTACACTAGGATTCTGTACTTATCACCAAAACTTTTCTTCCCCAAAAAAAGCAAATCAAACTAAAATGACGCTTCCCATCTGTATTTTTAACATCCTTTATACAGTTCTACTGGAAAACACTTGCTCAGTATTTGTTTTCTTTACCTTGTAACTTGCATTATGATATATACCTGATGCCATCAGTTTCCTATTCCAAACACAGTGACTGTTAAAGACAAGGCCCAAAATTGAAAGTTCCACTTGTGACTTCTGCTTATTCAGGGAGTCTCCTCAAAACAGCTTTC